GACCAAAGGCTCGATCGGGAGGTGCGATGCTGCCTACACCAGGTCTCGGGTTTGGAACCGTACTTAGTCCTCACGCGATTTCTTGTATAGGCGCCCCACCTAATGCTCCTACGTCCTCCGCGTCGATCGAATCCTGCTACCCGCTCTACCATATCTCGCATTCAATTCCCTGCGACAGATGGGGAACTCGACATGATCCCTGATTAGGTGCCCAGATGGCCAACTCATCGAACATAATCTTTCATTGTTCGAAACTCGAGTATCCTTGGGCTGTACCTCTAATCATGTCTCATGTCACAGCAACCAGACTTCTGAATGGGCTAAGGGTCGGCAGAGCTTCTGGGTCTCTTTGGAAGATGATCGACATTCCGGTAAACCATCGCGACCGATACTCGAGAGTTTCGAGTCACTGGAATGATGACTACCCATCCCGCTCGAACGCCGCTGTCTGAGACGTTCCCGCAGTCAGAATAACCATCGAGCCGGACCGCGAGGGGTTTGTTTATTTTTGAACGAGCGACTCGACGTACTAACGTCGGTCCAGATGGGGTTACGTTCCGGAGAGTGCGCGCGCAGGACACGCGGTGCACTCTCCCACCAGACCGCCTCTCGGTTGGAGTGAGAGCAAGCTCACAATGTGGGGTCTGCGAAGACAGTTTCCGTTCGACAAGAAGACGGTCCACACGCTCAACTCGGAGCATTTCTCCAGTGAGCACGTGCAACGTGTTGATTCAATCGGTCGGAAGCGACCGGAGTCGCTTTACGATCGGGTTCCAACTCAACGATGTGAACGGTGTTCTTAAAATTTTCCCCGTGGATGTTCCTCAAGACTTCTCAGCGAGGTCTGGTGTCAAAACCCCAAAATGAGTGCACTACTCGATGAGGAAAGCGAACGACGGAAAGTCATTCGATCGAGCCTACTATGTGATCACGATGGAATACCTGTCCACGGATGCGGGCGTAAATGACAATATGACGTGAATACTCCCGAGGCAAGGTCGTCTCGACCTCCTACGAGTATCTCGAAATTCGGGAAGTGAGTGATGAGTGCATTCCCAGAGTGGAAACCGATGGAGAACGAACAATGTACATAATAGATCAGCGAGGACAGACGTTCGGAAGTGTACATTACCTCGAGCACAGCGAGTAGCTCATGTGACACTCGTCCGAATGTAGGTGACGAGCTCAGAAACCGCTGGAAAGAAGCCCCACAATGAATCCGTCCAAAGTTGTTCAATGAGGGTTTCCTCCTGACAGTTGTTCATGCCAACCCGCGAGACGACAGACAGAAACAGAGAGTAAAAAACCCCGTGAACGATTATACAATACCCTGAAATATTCTCTACTTTTCCTCTTCCAAGCCTCGTGGCATCCCATCGATAATGGTGCAGACGACCGAAACTATAGCCACTCTTGCTTTGTGATCGTTTCCATACGTAGCGAGAAGGATTTTCGTGGCAGGCTGATTTGGAGCGCCTCCATAGCATATCAGAACTCCGTCCATATCTCGGAGCGTTTTCGCTCCTCGTCCAAGAGTCGACCTGAAAGAAAGACTCGGGAATCGTAGCTTCTGCACTTGTTCGCGAACTTAGGCGCTGGAGAGCCACAAGGGCAAGACTCGCTCTTCCGTCCGGAACGTCTCCACAGACGGGTGACGCCTAGAGCGACCAAGCTTCGAAAGTTCGACCTGGAAAGGAAGGGTCTTAGCTCCTGTCAAAAAAGTATTCTCCCGACACCAGCTCTCGAACAATCAAATTCGTCCATTATTTCTCGCGGAGAAGCCAGCTAGGTGCTCTCGTCCGTCCACATACACTTATTCCTTTTGTGCAACATTGAAATATTCCGTCCATTTCTTTGTCGTCTGAGTATGATCCTTTGAAGATAGCCTCAGAAGCTGCGTACTCATTCTAGACAAAGGGGAACAAACATTTTTCAAGGAGGGAAACAAGCTGAATTCAAGCCAGAGAATCATAGACGTCGTGCCGAGAATATACAAGATAAGGCAGGGCAAGACTCGAGTGGAACGTCGACGAAGCGACAGACAGACAGATCGAGCTCTGTGGAATTTAAAATAGGGCCCAAGACGAGCGACGGAGCCCTTCACCGCCACCGCCACCACCAAATGAACGGACGAAGGCGCGGAATAAATGGAGAGCCCTGAGGAGAAAATGAGGAGAGGATAAAGAAGAACACTCCATCCTTGTGATCTATCCACATGCCTGACCGCTCTGCGTGCTTCTTTGTCAAAGCCAAGAAAGGGATCGAACCGAGAACAGGATAAACTCCCGAGCAAGCTCCCGTAGGAGAAGGAGAACGTGGGAAACGCCTCTCCGTGGTGGTGGGTCGCCGAAATTCGCGAACCCCAAATCGAACGCCGATACTTTCGAACTGGGACTGCGACCTTGATCGTTACCCTGACGCTTCTTGATTGCGAGAACGGAAAAATACAAATCTTGTTTGCGAGGCTTTTGACGAGGCAACAAACCGGAGTAGAGACGAAGAACTCTCGATTTCTGTCGAAATTAAATGAAGCAACAGGAGTCTGGGGCGGCGGCGCAAGCAGAATCGAAAACAAGTTCTCCATGGGGAAATAGGGGCGACCCCAACCGCCTCGGGCTGTTTCTGCGCAGCAAACACGCGGACTTCAACGTCAACTTGATCGCCCTGAGCGAGGAAGAACTACAACTATCGGAGGCGTCTCCGCTTCCGTTTTTCCCGCTCGAGAAAAATCTGTACCGTCGTCCTGTTGCGGGAGTTCCAGCTCGTTTGATGATCGGCTTCTGAAGCAGTGAAAGCTCCCGCTCGAGTTCCCTCAACAGCCTCCGACTCTCGAAGGACCTTCGCGCGTCGTAATCATCGTCCTCGTCGGTTTCATCAGCCCCTTGATCCAGGCGATTAAATCTGCCGGCTTGCCTTAACGGACTAGACGTTGTTCCGCACGTTGAGGTGCATCATCTGTGTCAACCGTGCTAAGCAGCTTACCTACAAAGCGTTGCCAGCTCGAGCTGCACTCGGCTACCACGGATCCCTAAAAGTGTGCGTGTGTGTGTGCCGGAAGAAGACCGCTGGGGATTAGGTCTCCGACGAGCCGACCGAGCGACCGAGCAGCCCACCAACGAAGCAACGTCAGTCGGCTGACTGCTAAGACTCCTTCGTCTATTATAAACTCAGTGAAACACCACCAGGCTCTCAGTTGAACCTCAACTCTGGTGGGAGACAAGCGGTGCGAAGTTCGAGCCTGACGCGCAGAAGTTTCCGGAGTCCGGCAGAAGAGCCAAATTGATCCGATGCTCCCACTCGGATAGCCAACCGATGTCCTTAAACGAGAAATACGGTCGAGGTCCTTGACTGGGGGATTCGATTGAGATACTCAAGCAGAAAACTTTTTCGGAGAGTCCAGTTGAGCCTCTAAGTTCACCGCACGACTCGTCGTCTACTATGTCTCGATGTTGTGTTTGCTGAAATTAGCCCTGCTGGTACTGTATCTGGTACTGATCATCTTCGTCGCGGTGTTGAGTGATGTCGTTCGTCTGTACAACATGAGCTTCGTCACGTCGTCGTCGACAGCCAACGTCGTCGACGCCAAGTCGCTCGCAACGGAAACGCTCGAGAGCATTCTCCGCCAACGGGGGGTCACGTCCTCGACAGCGCATAATTACTACCACTTTCTACAATATCAAGAATCTTCATCGCATCTCAACAACAGGAGCCACCACAGTGCCCTGCAACATCAGCACCACCGCAGACACCTGCTCCAGCTCGTGGAGCTTTCCGGTGAGTCTCTCCGTTTCATTTGGATACAGTTTCGAATTATTGGGTCAAAACGCAGTTCCCCAATCCCAGCTCCAGAGAGATTTCTCATCCCTCGTGGAGCCGATCGAAATCACACGGACTGTAACAAGATTGAGGAGAATCCTGTCGTCTCCGGGTAGCGGAGGCGACGAAGAAGAACCTCTTGATTCTCGCTCTATAGAGGCTCCCAGCCTATCGCAGCGATTGTGATCAATGTTGTCGTTAGCGACGTTGCGTTGTTGACACTCGATTCTCCGACACAGCGAATCGAGTTTCGTTCGAATGAGCTGTTTCGATTGTTACCACCAGCTCAAATGAGAGCTGCGGAAAAAATGGAGAACACGGCAACAAAGGGCTCCGAGGCAAGGTCGAACTCTTCGACGAGCATCCCCGAGGCAATTGAGTACGAAATTGGATTCTTCCCCCAACTCTTATCCTTTTCGGGTTTCGAGGTTTCATCAGCATCGAGTGTTGTGCCCTTCGCTCGAGCGGCTCGAAACTCGGGAGGAACAATGGTTTTCTACAGTTCTCCGCTCTCTTCCCCCCCCCCCTAGGTCTGGTCCGCGTGGAAGAAATTCTAGACCTGGACAGCCTGTTGCTTCACGAATGGAACAACGAGAAACTTTCCTCAACCGTGGGCAGTATCATAACTCTCGGCGCCGAGCATCGCGGCTCCAGGAGCCGGGAACCTGTCAAGGGTTCCTCGGGTCTCTGGGGAACACCCAGCTCTGGTTCCGATTTGTTGGGAGAAATCGAAGACAGAACGAGAGATGCGTCCTGGCTAATCCTGGTACGACTACGAGGCGGAGCCTCGCTTCTCGATCAGGCTTCGTGGCAAGAAGTCATCGGAGCCGTTTCGCATTTCGGAATCAGAACAGCCGTTTTCGATTGCAGCAGAGATCGATGGTGAGTCAATGGGCTGTCTATCGAAGTTCGATTTATCGTGTTTTGGCAGAAGCTTCTCATTAGTAAGCGGTTCCTAGACCGAAATGTTTTTTTGTTCTCTTCGAAGGATTTGCGATCGACGGAATTGGGTTGTTCCGCAACTCATTCTAACACTGCCCGAGAATCATGCAAATTCGACAAACAAACTACTCAAGCACAAGAAAGAGCTCCTGTGGCATTATTCGTACAACCTGCACAAGCCACGTCAAGTTGTCAATTGGGTGGCAAGGCAACTCGCGAATCAAGTGCATCGACTTCAACCAAGTGAGTTTCTAAGGGCAGAGGGATGTTTCTCAACTTAACGTACGCACTCAGCCAAAGTAGATACGCGCTTGCTGATCAGCTCGGGTGCGCGGAATTTCGGAACGACACCCGAGAATCTGAAATTCAAACTTTTGGATCTGACACAGGTGATCTGAGCGCGTGGGAGAAGTTCGACTCGGGATTGGAAAGCAGTCACAAGCTCCGAATAATTCTCGTTTCGAAGACGGAACAGCCTCCGATGTTCCTCTCTGCGATCGCCGTGCGCTTCAGCAGTAAATACCTCTCGGACTTTTTCCTCTCGGATATAATCTCCAACTCCCCGACGCATCCAATTGGATAGCGCTTGATTGTGTATCGGTGCGGTGGCCACTCCGCCGCACTCGGGCCGCTCCTTGCGGGGCAGCTTCGGCGGCGGCGGCCCGATTCCCAAGCGGAATCTCAGATAACCGACGTTGTTTTCCAGGTCGCATCGATGTGGGCATAATTGATATGGCGTACATGACCGAGATATCGTCTCATCTAAAACCGATCAACCAATTGATAGCGATACCGTCGACGACCTCGTATATTGTTCTGACCCCGTTGTCCGGCATGATCGTCTACGGAGAACGGGCGGGCGAAGCCCTCAACTTCCGTCGAATGGAGATTTTTCTGAACTTCATGGTACCCGAGGCCAGGAGCATTTTCACGGTCACGCTAGCCTTGGTGAACTTGATGCTCTGCATCGAGTTGTTCCTATTCAGTTCATCACGTCTTCTGAAACACATTCTGAGTTGGATCTCCCGCGTCTTGAAGTACAACGCAGCGCTGCTGCTCGTGTGGTTGGGCGTCATCGCTCTGATGCAGTCGCGTTTCCATTGCGTCGACAAAATTCTCGAGCAAGCCCTGACGGTTTTAGCGCAGAAGTTCTTCAACGGCTCGTACATCGGCTGTCTGCTGAGATCGCAGTGGCCGTTCATAAGCTGTTTCCGAGTGCTCGCAGTGAGTGTGTTCATCTTCGGGTCGGCAGTCGCTATTCCTTGGTGGCAGGTCCGGCCGCGAACGACGCCCCCTTCGTCGCAGCACCCGCCAACTTCGTCGACGACGTCTCTGCTACCCCAATTCTCGTCGTCGTTGTCGTCGTCGACGTCAACGACTCAAAACGGTGACGTGTTCACCACTCCTTTGTTGGCGGCGACCGGGGCCGACTTCCCTATGTTCCATCATCACTACTCGGGCCCCCACAGACAGCTGTCGTGGATCGAACGCGGCAGCGGGGCTCGTTCGGTCGTTTTGCTCAATCAGCTGTTTGGTCAAGTTGTTTCCTTGCAACGCATGTCATTATCCCAGGCGGCCGCGGCGGCAACGTCGACGACGGCTGACACGATGACGGGAGAAGGCAACGCCGCCGTGGTGGACGTTGCAGGACATGTTTCGAGCGCTGGCAACCCGAACCATTTCATGCATCTTACGTCGGATGCTGCGTGGCTGCCATTAGGAGTTTCGCTTGACTACATATCACAGCTCCCCAAATGGCGATTCAAGTTTGCCAACGTTGATGAGGTCCACAACTTATCCCAGAGCGCCTCGCAGTCGTCGCTGGCCGTTGAAGGTGAGTTGCCATCAAGTGTTGTTGGCGTTGTTGTTGTCGTCGTAGTCATTATGAGCTCGCGCCAGAATGCGAGGCGCGCTCGGTAATTCCAAAATACGATTCTCGCAGCGGGCCGAGCTGTGAGAGCCGTGCGCGAACACATGCATACATATTTAGTTTTTCTCCAAGCGACACTACTTGGGAATGGCGTACGGAACTGCCCGACTAACAATAAGGTCCCGAGTCCAGGGACCGAGTGCGTGCGTAAATTACTCTTGGAATAACCCGTTTCAGGCTCGGAAGAGAACGAAGCTGTTTTGCTGCAGTACGCAAAGTTCCCCGCAGGAATGCTCCCCTCCTTAATTTGTAGCATTTGTTTGGAGCGCTATCGCAGCGAGACCACGGAGGACTCGAACAACGGCAGTCACGGAAGTAGCAGCAGCTCAACCATCAGCCCCGAAAACCGCACGAACAACAACAACAACAATATCGAGAGCAGCGGCAGCAGCAACAACAACAACAACAATAATAATACAAATAAGGGCGATGGAGGTAACGAGAGACACAACGCACTCGATGTTCAAGCGAAGAAATACGGCGGAGACACTCTCTGCGGCTTGCCTTGTGGTCACGCATTCCATGCGCATTGTGTGCTCAACTGGCTCACCCGCGATCATCACGTGTGCCCGATCTGCAGGTGAGTGTCAGGAGTCAGACCCGCCGCCGTACCAACGAGGAAGGAGAGTGGAACACCCTGACGCCTAACGATCTGACGATAACGTTACAGATGGCCGTCCTACCAGCAAAAACAGAACCCTCCTGAGAAGAATCGAGATTCGTGGGGAGACTGGGACCTGGGGTCACCGGTGTGATTTTGTGAAAAGAAACGACGCGAACGTGAACATACTGTTACGACTTGTAGATTCTGACTGTCGTCTGAAGTACCTGTTCCTACGCTTTATATGAATACATACACGGGTCGGTCGAATTTTTGATGGATTCCCATCAGCGGCGGCGGCGGCAACGACGACTACGAAAAAGACATCGGAAGCCGATAGGTTCATCGGTGGACGTTCCTTCATCCAACGAGCCTCTGCAAAGGGAACGATCCTAACCGACGAGTCCCGGCGTTTGACCGTCGCCATGCCGGTTCAGCTCCCTGTCTGTAGGCGGAGCTGAGGAAACGAGAAGGGCGCCGTTACTGCCCGGAGGATCTGTCTGTTCATCAGTGTAGTATATCATCTGAGAGACGCCAGGTTTATCTGATAATACACTTTCGGCGATCTGAGGATAACCCTTCCCTTGCATGACGGATGCTTCATCCGACCGACGGACAGCAGCTCATTCGAGGGTTTAAGTAGGAGGGGGTCTGGGAATTTTCCACAAGGTCGAACGAAGAATGACTGGAAATAGTGAATCATCAGCCCTGAGCTCCGGTTTCGTATGCTGATGCGGAAAACTGAATAAAAAGAGTGATGCTATTCGAGGAGCACTGAGAACAAATCTCGGTTTTCAATCATCGCTCGGAGAGAAGCCGATAATAACCGGTTCTCTCGGGGTGGGGTCGGGACCGTGGAGAACGTGGCGGGCACCCGCAGTCCCAAAGACAGCTCGGTTTGGAAGGTGAGCGAATCATCAAGAGCAGCGTATGCCACACCGAAGCACGGAGCGGAAGTCCATCGGAAGTACCACGTCAGTCCGGGAAAGCTTCTCCGGTGCGTCCTGACCTCAAAAATTGCGATGCGGGACCCTCGATTCCGTAGGTTTCGAATTTCCACTTCCGCCCAGATTGTTCCGTCCCCTCGATGCTCACCCACCTGATGTAGTATACGATTCATGATAGTCCGTTCGCATATTCGATCGAATAGAGGGTAGGAACATGGATGAGTGGAAAATCCATCCGTGAAGCGGACAAAGCCGCAAGGCGATAATCATTCCAGTTAGATCCTTCGAGAATACAAGTCAGCCATCCGAGCTCGGGAGCGAGCGCGAACAGTCCCATTCCTCGAAGGGATCATTCCTTGTGGATCCAGTGAAAGCTGAATTCGATTCCTGCATCGATATGCGCCTGTGAGCAGAGGGAACCATGTTCAGCCGAATTTAGGTGAATCGGGGGCCGAAGAGAGGATGAGAAGGATAGTGATCCTCGACATACAAGGAATTCTTTAAAACCATTGTTGGAGGATCGTGAGCCAGATCGAAGACCTGTGTTTTCTCAAGAAACTCAATTCACTCGATCGAGCAATCGGATTTGGTCTCTCGGAAGCCGCCATTAGCCCGCGAAGATTCCGTTCCCACTGAAATTTCGCTCCTAGTCTCCAGGCCCCTCGACGTGCGGTCTGTAATTCCCGGGGAAGATGCTCCGTCGGATTTGTACGGAGCCCTCCTCGTCCACATAGCGGGAATGGGAAATTCCTCGCTGCGAGTTCTTATGAACGAGAACACTGTGTGGGAGGAAAACGCCATATTTGAAAGCACAGGATGTCGATATACAGCGATTGAATAGAGGAGCTTAGGCTGAGCCGATTGTGTTGTTGGTCTGTCGGACGAAAAAAGAGCATTCCGCTGTTGCACAAGTTCATGGTGAGGCCATGAGGGCACGCAAGGAGCTCGAACGACAGCGCTTTTCCTAAACGACTTGCCCCCGATGGAACTTAAAATAGATTTTCCAGTTTGCGGTAAGGGCAGCTCTATCAGGACCACCGATAAGATCCTTCTACAGAGCGTCTCGCTCCCGTAATGAACTTTATGTGAGAGGGAACTCCCGCGTTTGCTGGCAGATTTTTTCTCCTCCGCGTCGGATCCTGAAACTTTTGGTCCTGAGCTCTAACAACCGGGAGACTTCGGTGGATCCGAGCCGTGCAAAACCGTAGCATCTCCCCGCGGTCCCGCGATAAAATCAAAAGAGTTTCCGAGCGAATATGATCGCAGCAGCTGGTGATCGAATTTCCGTCGTCAGTTGTTTCCCTGGACGTAATAATTCCGACTGTGGATGTCGGTCAAGAAATTCCGAGCGCCGCCGCCGCATGTGTCGACAAGGGGGGGGGGATGAAATCCAATCAAGCTACATACATATATGAATGTTTCAAGCAGCGAGAGAATTCCACCGAATTGTTCCGAGGGAGGGCCGCAACATGTCGCGCTTTGGGTGAGTGCCTGACCCGCACGCTCATTTGAGACGCCTCTCAAATCATTCAAGAGGGGTTGAAGTCGCCCATGAAATCATTGTCGTTCCATCGGTCACTGCACTTCATCATGGATCAGGCTCGCTCACTTTCACTGTCGTGGAGGGTTCGGTTTCCGTCGCAGCCTCGCTTCGACACGGTCCCCCTCGCAGAGAAATAGTGTTTCGATTCGATAAACCGCGAACGGAAACCAACTCATTTATCAGCCGAAGTTCCTTGTCGGAACTCGGGTCCGCTGGACCAAAGTAAGACTTCCTCAGAGTGAACAGCGAACGCTCTCCGCGTAACGTCCTCGCAATCAATTTTCGGTACGTACAACGAGAATTGGTCGATCTCAAAATGGAGTTGATTCTCACTCGCAATTCGCTCCGAGTTCTGACCTGAGTTTGAGGATATGCGAGTTCGCCCGTCGAGCGAATACCGACATTCTTAGACTTGGACTTGGCATATCCCTCGAGCCCTAGCAGGCGCGTCATTGAATCAAGAAGTCTTGCGGTTCTGTTGCGATTTTAGACGTCTCAAATGTTGTGAGTGGATATTCGAAGTGAGCAAGAAGACCCTCGGTGTACCCGTGCCTTGAAACAAGAGCTGATCATCGGTCCCTCTGAAAGCTCCAGCGGACGGAGCCCAGGAGAAGGGAAGAGCGCCGCAAGCAAGGTCTGGCAACGGGCGCAGTTGCTGATCAATTTGCAAGAAAAGCTCACCAGTTTTTATAGCATTCATGTTCAGGCGCTTGCATCCTCGATATCTCGGAAGAATACTTGGCCAGGCCAAGGTTCCCTCTTGCGAAACATCTTCTTGGAGGTGGCAAGGATGAATTCCGGTGCTGACTTGTAGATTCTCACTTTCCTTCCTGATGGCCCTTCGACCGCCTTCAACCGCAATCCGTGGGACGTCTTCCTCGAAATCGCTGCTCCTCCCGGCTGCCTTACAAGTGGTGCGTCGCAGGTGCTCATTTCAGCTCTCGCGGGACGGGAGTGTGTTTTAACCACGACTCACGAGCCTGCATCTCTCTATCGATTTTCCCTCCTCCGCTGGAGTCTACAATCTCATGAGACCTCCCAAAGGTCGTGGAAAATCTCAGAATGTCGATCGCTCTGTTTCAGATTTTTCCGGCTCTATCGAGAATTCCCACGAGGTGGATTCTCCTGGATGCCGTATACTCGAATTATCCTTCCTCTGGTCTCCTCGTAGCGAAAACCCGGGTGATTCGTCAACGTGTTGGAAACTCGGACGTCGGTAACGAGTCCGAATGGATCCTCCTTCGATAGCTTTGTGTGCCAAACCCGGGACGATTCGACCACGCTCGGTGACCGCGTTACTGGTCCTCCAGTTGTTAGGACAGGCATTTGCTCTGCGTTGCCATAATGATCACCGACAGCGTGATCGTCTCAGCAAACCTCAGTCGTTCCTCTCGAGCGGCACGCGGACACGCAGGCAAGCAGGAGGAAACGAAACAGGCTCGTAATGAGATAGATGATACCAAAGGCCACTGCACCAGCTAATGAATGTCTTGCCGACAGCGAAGTAGGCCTGAATTGTCCCAATCAGGCCTTGTTTGCAGCCTTTCCAGGACGAATGAGAATTATTCTCATCATGTCGGTGTCTTCGATGGAACGACACATCTCCCCGAGAGGCTCTGACCAATTGTCTAGCTCCTTTTGAATCCGAGACCAAACAGTTTAATACGCTCGGTCCAGAAATCATCGATTTCGATATTTCGGTCAATATTCCTTCGACACGTTATCAGCATGACAAAACTTCGCGTCCATCGGATCGGAGGGAAACATCATTTCAGATATTCCATTCCGCAGCTTCAAGGGAGAAGTTGTCGGGCTCCATCGGGCCTAAGCGTAATCAAGCCTGCGTCGCCTGATAGAGGCACAGCAGGTATTCCTTTGTGTTTCCCGTCGAACGATCGCGGCTCCTCCGGCGACCACCTCGTCAGTTTGTCCGGTCACATGAGTTCAGTTAGTAGTAGACAGTGGCAATATCTCTAATACCCTTGGCTCTGCACGACTACGAACCCAGCAAGCGAGGCGAACGGCGTGCAGAAGACTAACACTCGGCCAATAACGAGGTCATCTGCACTCCGCGGTGGTCGATGTCGGCCCCGATATTGCTCCGAACACCTGAACCACTCACCCGCGATAGAATTTCGGGGAATCGCCCTCCTTATATGACCGGAAATGAATATGGACTTGATAAATTGACTCGAGCAATGATGGGTCGGCTTCTCGGTCCGGTCATGCTCAACGGAAGTGGTATCGGGTGAGTCGATTCCGATTAGCTTGGAAGCTGTATCCTATCCTTTCTACTTTGCTCCGGAGATATCTCGATGGTCGCGTCCCAGGCACACAGTTGTCGCAATGATTCCTCGCACTCAAATTTCGGTCCCGGAAACCGCTCCGTGAACCGCCTCGGCTTCAGAACGAATACCGATCCCATCTCCACGGTTAGCCGGCGAAAAAAACCCAGAAAGATTCATCATTTACATGGCGTAAAACAATTTTTCATGGGCTGGTTCGACACTAGAGCCTGTGCTCGACAGGATTAAAGAGCGTTCGTGGACCAGCATTGGTTTTTATGCTGCCAAGAGCCGTATCATAATTTACTCAGGCGCGAAGGCGTGACGTTTTTGGTTTGTCGTCTCTCCCTTTTAAATAGTTTTACACCGGCTGGAGCTA